GAGTCGACGCGTGAAAGGCCTCCATGGTGAAGCTATGCTGGACAAGGGGCAGGAGCCCCGGAAGTCTTGCACCAACTGCCAGATGTCGATGTCCATCAGGTAGCCCTGGAGATGAAAACCGGTGCTACGCCAGGTCAACACCCACACAGGTGAGCTTGCCCTTCCGCCTGGCCCGTGGGATCCAAGCTCCGGAACAAGGCCAAAAGCGGACATGCCGGTCGCAGTGCCTCAAACCAACAAAAAAGACAAACCCAGCCCTCCTAGTGTCCTGGCATTGGTAGCCTTCAAACCAAGCAGGAGAAGCCTTGCCATCTTCAGCGGCTGCATCAGTCGTTGCTTGCCGCAGCATGGTCTGCACCACAGCCACAAGCAGCCTGAAGGATGTCCGAAAGTAGAATTCCACAGCACGCTTTAATCAACACTGGCCTGCTCGTTGCCGTGCAGCTCTCCGGCGTCCACATGGGGTCGTATCCTGCAGACGCACGAGGCAAGCTGAGCTGGGCCGTGAGGGCTGTCCGTCTACAGGAAAGCTGGGCTTCCCGCTCAGTTGACGCTGAAAGTGCTCCAGGGACACTCCAGATCCAAAGCTTGTGGCATAGCGCTGCCACATTAGGTCTAACTCCTTCCAGGGCTAAGGACAGCCAATCGGAACAGCAGAGGTGTTCAACAAGTGTGTGTGTGTGTGTGTGACCTTCTCAGCCACAGGAATCTGCTGATCCCTGAAGGCCTTGCGGAGCAAATGGCATCAGGAGTGTGACAGATCGCGATAAGCGCCTGGAAACATAACGGAGTAACCCCACCTGCCGCAGACCCACGATGTCGAAGGTAGGCTGTCCCGAAGAAATGTAATCTCAGCTGCAAATCGGAAGCAACTGCAGGAAGCCGACGTCGCTTGCAGCCGAGAAGCAGAAGACCTCCTTCATGCAGGCCTCATCGAAACCTGCATGCGCAGCCAATCTCTTCCGGTCTAGCTCCAGGTTCTCCGCCTGGGGGTGCTTGTGCTGCAGATACTGCAACTGAGATGGAAAGGTCAGGCCC